AAGAAGCTGAGGCTGAGCCTTCCCAATCCTCCTGCCCTGCGTATGATGAGCTTTTGGAAGTTATGGATCGTGCCACGGCGAGGCTGGACTTGCCGTGGAAGCGGGCCAAGAAAGTGACGTCGCGAGGTCGTCTCGATGAGCGTTATCTTTCTGACCATAGCCCTCCAGCTCAGGTGAGCCTTCCTTTTCTTCCTGATCTCCATACAGAGATAGAGAAGGAATGGAAGAGGCCGTTTTCCTCACGCATCCATTGGTTCCAGCATACGAGTTATGCCAACATCGAGGGGATGCGCTAAAGCGGCTATGAGAAGATGCCCCCTGTTGAAAAGACGCTGTCTAGCTATCTCTCTATCAGTGAGATATCCTCTCTTAAGACTTCCTCCTTGCCATCTAAGCCCCTTCAGGATACATCTTGCTTAAATAGCAGGGCATACGCAGCAGCAGGTCAGCAGTTTCCACAAAAATATTAAGTGAAAACAGTTTTCAGTAGGCCTATAAACCATTAGTAATGGCTTAACTGATCACAAATAATTACTGATAATAATTAGGCAGCAAAGCAGCATATTAGATTGATTTCTGAAGGATCATGTGACACTGAAGACTGGAGTAATGATGCTGAAAATTCAGCTTTGATCACAGAAATAAATTACATTTTAAAATATCTTTAATAGAAAACCAGTATTTTGTATACAAAGACAAAGTACTTATGTCTGAAAACTTTTCAAACATACTTTTATTCGGTTTTGCATTTGGATATATATTTTAGACATTATCAAAGACTACATAAATACATACAAACAAATAAATAAATATATACATACATACAGAGTATTGTTTTAAATTATTATTTCTTTATTAACTTTTTCAAACTTTCCAGATGGCAGTGGCAGCAGTGGCATAGATGGCATTAGAGATGAGCTGCAACAGGATCAGTTAGAATTGGACACTGGTACTGTGTGTGTGTGTGTGTGTGTGTGTGTGTAAAGTTTCGTTTATTTTAATATTTTAAAGTTGGACTATCTTAAACTATGCATAATATATATTTTTTTGTTGTTGTCAGAAATTAGCTGCATAATGAATGCATTATTCTCTGTATTTTACTTTTGTATTGCAGATGAGTTAGAGAGAGCAGGCAAGCAGCTAGGCATAGAAGGCAGTGAGAAAGAAGATGATTTAGGGACTTTGGAATCAGGACCAAAACAAGTTAATCTCAAAAATTATCCAGTCACCAGATTTGGTCTACAAAAAAGATCCTTTCAGCAAAGATGGTTTGACACTTTTGAATGGCTGGAGTACTCTGTTAACAGAGATGCCACATTCTGCTATGCTTGCAGGATACATGGAAAGCATCCAGCACGAAATAATAAAGATTCTCTGATCAACACTGGAGGCTTTTCAAACTGGAAACGAGCTCTGGACAGTTTCAGAGAGCATGAAGCAAGTTTAGGGCACAAGGCTTCAGTGCTTGCTTGGAAGAATTATAAAGCCAATTTAATAGAAGGCAGTGTTGTTGAGAAAATTAATGTGGTACAAATTGGTGACATTGTTGACAGACGCGAATATTTGCGCAGAATTGTTGCTGTGACCAGCTTTTTTGGGAAGCAAGGTATTTCTTTTCGTGGACATGAAGAAGCAGAGTCTAGTGGAAATCAGGGGAACTTTTTGGAGTTAATGAAACTCCTGGAGCAATTTGATCCCTTCCTTCAAAGCTACCCCATGAACTGAATTTGGTACTTTGTCACACTTGTAGGGCTGTACCAGAGGCAGATGACTTTTTTGAAACATTAGGGAATGTGTATTCCTTCTTTAGTGCATCAATGGTCAGTCCTCAAGCATTTCATGACACACAGAAACAACAAGGTTTAGAGAACAGTGAATTTGTCCAGCTCTCTAAAACTAGATGGGAATGCCAGCTCAACTCGGTCAAAGCTGTGCTTGAAAATCTGACTGCTTTAAGATGCCTGGAAAAAGTTGCTACACCCATAGCAATTGGGCTGCTGTCAAAACTGTCCAGGTTTTCTAGTGTGTACATGCTTGTAATGTTCAAGAGTTTGCTATCTGCTACAGAGGGGCTCCATAAGTATCTCCAGAAAGAATCTGTGGACCTGGCACAAGCAACACTCTACAAAGATGCTGTTCTTGAAACACTGACCTTAATGCGGAGCAGTGAAGAAACAGCAGAACAGCTCTACAAGGAGACAAAAGTAATTTGCGAGTCCAATAACATCTCAGAGATCCTGTCTGGTCCCCGCCGTAAGCAGAGGCGGATGGATGATTACGCAGTGGATTCCACTTTGGGCACTAGGGCTCCATGTGATACTGGCAACCAACTTAAACATCATCTTTTGTATCCATGTCTTGACCGCATGATAAGTGAGCTGAGCAACAGATTTTCTGGTGTTGGGGAAAAGCTCATGAAGGGCATTCAAGCTTGCAATCCAGCAGCTGATGACTTTCTTAGTGAGGAATCTCTAAACCTCATTGCAGCACATTACAAAATCCAACTTTGTAAAGAGGAAATTCTGGTAGCGAAACAGTTCCTGGCAAAAAAGAAGAAAGAGGGTGCTGTCTCTGACATGGCCAGTGCTTACAAACTTCTTGATCCCGACATGTTTCCTACCCTGAGCTTGGTTTTTCAAGCAGCTCTTACAATACCGGTCAGCAGTTCCAGCTGTGAGCGGTCATTTAGTGCATTGCGTCGTCTACATACATGGCTTAGGCGAACAATGGGCCAGAAGAGACTCAACCATTTGGCTGTTCTGTCAATTGAAAAAGGAATTCTCAGCACTATAAATACTAGCATGGTAATTGACCGTTTTGCTCAAGTCAAGTCTCGGAGATACTCTCTGATGATTCCACCCTCAAAGAAATAGAGAACACAGAAAGATAGATTGTAAAGAAGGATAAAAAAGTCACCAAGAGCATGAAGTAGACAAGATACAAGCAGCAAGACAGATGAGAGTTATGAGAGATGAGAGAACAATAAGAGAAGGGAGGAGAGGCTGTAAAAAGAAAGAAAGAATGAGACAGTAGTGCTAGCATAAATGAGAAATCGGAGTTCTCCTCTCACATGAGAGTTGAGTTCTCTGTTTTCCCAGAGCACCTGGAACCGGCAACATCAGGCGAACTAGGCCCTTCCTCTGCCTCCCTGGTGCGCTGAGTTTTTGGCTAAGCTTGCAGTACGCTTAGCCTTCTGATTTCTAACGAACATGCTATAGGTTGAGCCCCCTCTCGACTGAGAGCTAGGTGTGATGCTCCCTCAGCTAGGTAACTTACTGCTAGCCATTCCAGCATTTTACCATAGATCAAGCTGATGGCTTCTCAAACATTTTGTTCTGGTGATGTACCATTACCATCTATGGGCTGCTCTTTCAGAGTGCCACGAGAGCCCCTTAGGATGGTATCTTTAAAATCCATCGAAGAAGTGAATGACGTGTTCTCCCGGCGCCTATTTATACTATAGCACAGGTAGTGACGTCATGGGCTGTCGCCAGCCAACATGTTGTTAATGTTTTTTGAATGTATGCTTCAGACACGGGTCATGACGAGGCGTTCCCCATAGCGACCCCTAGAGGACGCAGTGTCTCGTTCCCTACTCAGGGAGCCATGGTTACATAAGTAACCTGCGACGTTCTGGGGGGGGCACGCCAATAATGGAGCACGCCAATACACAGCACGCCAATAATGGAGCAGATAGTCAAAATAGTTAGTTTGATATTAGCGTGTTGCTAAGCTAATGGCTCCACATTCTTATTGACACAAAAATACACAGCACACACAACTAATGGAGCAGATAGTCAAACTTGATATTTTGACATTAGCATATTGCTAAACTAGCGACTTAGCATGCTCTTAAGCACAAAAATACACAACACACAAATAAGGGAGCAGATAGTCAAAACTGCTAGAGTTATAATAACTTAGCACTCATAAGCACAAAAAAATACAGACAAATAATGGGTGTATAGTTTATTTTTAATTATTATTTGTAATGAACTTGTATCAATACTTTTCTTAATTGAATCAAATACAAGAATCAACATTTTTTTGACCCATCCACCATCTTGGATCATTTTTGTCACTGTGCTTATTCCAATGCTTTCTGGGAATGAGTTATCTTGTAAAGAAGCATAATTATGTTTAAGTTTATGCCTACCTTTTGAAACAGCCTTGGCTTCTGGCCCAAATATATACCTATTAGTGTTAGCATATGCTAATATATCTTTCTTTGTGTCTAATTATTTTCCAGGAGATGTGATTGTCTACATTAATGACGTCTGTGTCCTGGGCACCACCCACTCTGATGTGGTGAAGCTTTTCCAGTCAGTGCCAATCGGACAAAGCGTAACCCTCGTCCTTTGCAGGGGTTACCCTCTTCCGTATGACCCGGAGGACGCAGCCAGCACTTTGCTGTCCCCCCTCAGTCTAATTGATCGCCCTCTGCTGGTCAACGGACGGAATAGCTATGACAGCTACATGGAGTACATCTCCCGCACCGCTCGCTTCGTTGACCCAATCCAAACGATGTTGGTGCACCCTCACCCTGGAGACACCCACCTGGACGCCGGACTGCTGGAGGACAGTGTCTCAGTGGCGTCGTCAGGGGCGGCCGGAGGAGAGCTGCTAACAGTTACCATGGTGAAAGGGGCGGATGGGTTTGGATTCACCATAGCAGACAGTAATGGAGGACAGAGGGTGAAGCAGATTCTGGAGGCGCAGGGGTGCCCGGGGCTGTGCGAGGGCGATCTGATTGTGGAAATTAACCAGCAAACCGCGCTAACGCTGTCACACACACAGGTGGTGGAGCTGCTAAAAGAGTGTCCTGTTGGAGCTGAGGCCACGTTGGTTGTGCAGAGAGGACGGGCAGGTAAGGAGACTTTTGAATGTTTTTGGGTTTTGTGTGTGTTTTATGGATATGGAAAGGCCTCTTATTTGGTTGATTAGTCCATCTTGCCCTTCTTAGCAGTTTTATAATTCACTCCTCGGCTTTCTCAAAGAACCTTCGCTGTGCAGAAAAGCACTGTGGGTAAAAATAGACTCTGGCACATAATTACACTAGTGTACAAACATACATATGCACTACTTGTGTGCTCAGTATATTTATATCCTGCATTCTGTACAAGGACTGTTGCATAATATGCTTTCACAAACACACACACCTAAAATTCACAAACTAGCACACTTAAAGACTCTCTGAAATCAGTTTAGGAGTTTTGTGGCTTTTAGCATGCCTGTTAGCGTTGAGGCTAATTTATATGCTAGTGTATGCCTTATTTACTGTTGCTTGGCCAAATATCGGAAGCGAAATCAGTAATTTCAATAGGAATCTGCACATGCGTGAGGGCGAAAAAGTTCCCCATGCAGATTTCGCTCATGTTTCAAATGGTCACGCAAATTTGCAGCACTAACCAACAGAAAGCTGCTTGGTTTGAAAGTGACTTTGGTGAGCTTTATGCATTACTGTGTTATTGACAATAGAAATAGGATTTTTTTTTTGCCCACAAAATGTTGCCTAAATTTTGCCAATGTAACCTCACCTCAGTGAAACAGACCAAAGGCAAAAGGCTACTGGCTATTGACCACTTGGATATGTCCCACCTCCAATCTAGGAAAGAAAACAGCAGTCATCAAGCCATTTCATTGGCTTCACTGAGTCTTTAAAGTTATACTGAAATCAAAATTGTTCCCAAAACTGATGCCAAACAGCTATTTAAAGCTTCACACGTGGCATTTAGCATTGATGTGCTTTCCAGCACACAAGCACTTCCTACACTCACGTACACCGTGTCCCAGACACCTACACTGTCTCACATACAAATTATGGTTTGCTGGTTCAGTGTCTAGCTCTCAAGGGGCAGTGATTCAATGCTGATTATTTTACAGTGCTGTTGATTACTGCTGGTGATAACTTGTTTCTCACCCGAGAATGATTTTAGATTCTAGATTTTTAGATTCTCCCCAATTACTGGAATGTTCTTTTATTTGTTCCTTTATTTTATTATAATAACATATAATAATTTTTTATTGTTTTTTTTTTCACTTTCCCCAAAACCAACTGCCCTTAATACAATACCGTAACTCAATACTTCAAATATATACTAAATTTATATATTAAAGTTTAGATTTAAAAAATGCATTTTTGCATAAGAAAACGCTATCATATGTCCTGACATAAGATTCATTTTAGAATTATACTTCTTTTGGTTTTCACAGATGTGTCCCTACTTTTGTGAGACTGACAGATGTATGATTATTTTTATTAAATCCGGCAGAATCAAAGTCATCCCTCAATCTGAAGGTCTTATTTTGATATTTATTTTCATTATTTTGATATTAACAAGGTCATACAGACACTCGTGGGTTATATATAGTTTTATCATTTTAAGTATAATTTTTTATTCTTTCTTTCAGCTAAGCTGAAAATGTGTTTGAAACCATCCGGTAGTATTGATGTATTCATTCATTCAAGTGAATACTAGATTCATATTGAAGTATTTGACATATTAATGTAATATATCACAGTGATATTGGTTGATGGGTGAAAAAACACATTTGTGAGAAAATGGAAAAAGCAGAATGTTGAACCAAATTTAGGTGACTATCTCTGAGCATATTTAGTAGACTAATTCAATGACACATCTTTTTTTTTTTCAGTTCTATAGCCTGTTTTGTCTGTTTTAGTACTCAAGAATCGGGGGTGTGCATACAGCCTGTCCACCATGTCAGAGCAAAGTAAGCATATAATTTGATCTCTAATTGCAGTTGGAAGCACTTACCGTTTTATTTTTTTAGGCCTGTGGTTTTAGGCCGAGATTTATTGTCATTCATGTTAGGAAATGAAAAGACAGTAAAAGCCAATCCACATGCACCAGTCTATACTGTAGAAAAGCAGCTCATTTGATACATTTTAGTATTGAATAAAAAAAAAAGCCCTGCAATGGCTTTAGCTCTAACTGACACCTTGACTGAGAACATATAAGCCTTTTTTAAAAGCAGCTTGAGCCAGTGTGATTTATGACTCGTAGCAATCAGAGTGTCTGTTATAACCCAGAGAGAAAGGGAGAAGGAAAGCAAGAGAATAAATAGATTAAAGATTCAGAACAGAGAGGGAAAAGATAGAACTCTTAACCATCACTGTAGCAAAATTACAACATTTGTTCAAAGCAATTAAGTAATATTACACATTCCTAAATGCATCATAGCATTAAATAAAGAGTAATCTCCTACTAGGAATTTTTTTTTTTTTTCAGGACATTTTCCCCCAGTTCTCATTTCTATAATATGATAATTTTTTTAACTACAGTAAATTAAATTTTGACAATGTTTTTTTGAAACGTTTTAAAATCAGTTATTTTGATTCATTAAAGGAAATACAGCAAATGCTACCATGATGCATACATATTTCAACATTATTTTTTCATGTTACAGTAATGAGAATGAGACACTGTATTTTGCAACTCTAAGGTTTAGACACTCTGTTTACAGTTATTAGAATTGGAGAAATAAAATAAGTTAGATTTTCAATACAATGTCAGAATTCGTCTCTGAGGGTTCATTACAAGAAAATAGGAAAAATTAGGTGAAGAAGAGAAAGATCTAGAGAGGCATCTTGGGAGCTTGTGTGAAGTATGTCTCTCCTCTATGTCAGTGCAGGTCAAAGGTTTACGAGAGAGACATTAAATCCTTGTTAAGCCCCAGTGATCAGTATGCTGGATTACAGCCTCTATGTGATTTACATACAGTATGAAGCACGAATGCACTCCTAAGCGCACACTCTCATAAGTACACATGCATAATTATTGTAGGAGCATGTCTGCTATTGTGCTAATTATACTGACTCCAGAAAGTTTTGGGGAATTTAATGAACATTTAAAAATGTAGGAATGTCGTTGCATTATATAACAAAATATCAAAAGAGCATTTGTTCTAAAGGATGGCAGAAACATACTTTTCAAGCAAAACATTTCACTAAAAACATTTTCTCAACTCAATAAAAAAATTAAGTCATTGACAAAAGGAACGGCAAAATAAATGTTTATTGAGGAAAATCTCTACATTTATTTATTTCTGAATTACACTTTATTTGATAGTTTACTTAATGCAATGACATTGTGATATGCTTACAGTAAGTGGTGACTTAAGTGCCCAAATATTTTTGTTATGATTGTATATACATAGTTGAACAGTATTTTTTATTCTGTTTAGTTTAGTTTATAGGCTATCATTGTGAGTTTTAATTTTTTTAGCTTTATAGTTTCCATTTATTTAGTTTTTATGTTGGTTTTAGTATTATAGATCTGCCAAAGTTAATTAACAACTGGTATAATTTTAAAAAAAAAATCAGAATTTCATAATTTATCAGCACAGTTTAGAGTTACTGCTGTCTTCTCAGGTGGTTGCAAAAAGGTTGCAAGTTTTATAATATGCCATCAAAAACTGAAATTAATTTGTGGCCATTTTTTATTTTATTTGATTTTATTTAGTATATTTTAGTATATTTATTTTTTAGTAATAATAAGCAAACTTTTAAAGACAATAAATGCTTCTTTAGGTGTCCTTATTCTGAGTTTTGGTTCATAGCTTAGAACTCAACTGCAATTTCCAGGCTGCTTCAAAACTGAGCAGTCAGCTCTATTGTCAATCAGTTTGTTTGGAAAGGCACAGAGGTCATCTTGAGTAATCCCAAACTCTTTGGAGCAAATTACAGTAAGGTTATCCGTATTCATTCCTTTGATGTCAATGTGGTGTGATTTGTACTTTTAGTACAAGTAAAGTATAATGAAACTACATTCTGTTAAATAGCCATGTGTGTTTGCAAAGGCACTGATCCACAACCAGGGTGTATGTTTTGTTTCGGGTGCATGTTGGTAGACACACTTCTGTGCCACTAACAGAGTCAGCGTGCTTGAAGGTCATTATGGTCACTTGAATATGAATATGGCCTGAAGTCCCGTACATCAGCAATCTGTCCCATTCTTTTCCTCGTCGTATTCATACAGACTGCACAGTGAGCCATGAAATGCTAAACAGCCTGTAGCATCACGCTACCATTCGAGTTTAACATCCGTCTGTTCAAACATGCCGTGAATGACATAAGGAGGACAGAAGACGATTTGCACAAACCAACAGTTTCTCTCGCAGGGTCAGTTTTATTCAATGCTGCTTCCATCTGTAGTTATCTGCACCTCTTCCTTTCTTCTGTCCTTTTGATGCGCTATATGCCAAGTTTTCTGAAGCCTTACAACTCCTTTAAGTGAGGAAAAAATTTAATTATTCACTAGACATCTTAACATCTGAGTTTGTAAGAGAAGATCTTTTCAATAAATGGGTTTATCCTCTTTAAAAAAAAAATGATTCATTGACAAATCAGTTCTGAGTTCAAGTCTGATTCAGTGATTTAGTCACAAATTTTGAGTTTGTTATTTTCAGTTTACTTGTCAGTTTTCATGATAAAAGTTAAGGTTTTAGTTTGGGATTTTTATGTTGAAGTTAGCATTGGGGTTTGAAATAGGAGTTGGTGCTGAGGGTTAAGATCCATATTAGATTAAGGGGTGGGAGTAAGGAGTTTGGTTGGTTGGATCATGATTAGAAATAGGGGTTAGGTCTAGACTTTAAAGTTTGGGATTGTGGTTCGGGTCAGGGTTCAGTAAAAAGGGCAGGGAGTTCATGATGGATTTGGCTTGGGGTTTGGAATTGGAGTTGGTGCTGAGGGTTGGGATCTAGGTTAGTAGGAGGAAGGGGTGGGAGAGAAGGGTTTGGGATTAGGGTTAGAAATAGTTAGAATTTAGGGGGTTGGATTCAGTGAAAGGATCAGGGAGTCCTTGATGGATTGGGTTGGGGTTTGGAATAGGAGTTGAAGCTGAGAGT